TCTTTCTTTCTTTCTTTCTTTCTTTCTTTCTTTCTTTCTTTCTTTCTCTCTCTCTTTTTTCTTTCATTCTTTTTTTTATTCAAATCTTCTTGTACAAAATGACTAATATGGAAATGTTTTACATGATTGCACATGTATAACCTATATCTGATTGCTTGTACTATCTCAGGGAAGGGTGAGAGAGGGAGGGAAGGAAGGATAGAATTTGGAGCTCAAAACTTGAAAAAAAACAAGTGTTAAAATTTTTTTAACATGTAATTGGGGAAAATATGTTATATTTTTAAAAAAGAAAAATAAACAATGGGACTAAGAAAAAAAATAACACCAACCTTTCAGAGTGATTTTGAGGATCAAATGAGATAATTTTTGTAAAGTGCTTTGCAAACCTTGAAGCTCTTAGTGCTGTCATAATCATCATCATCACCATTGTTATCATCATCATCCATAAATATTTATTAGACCAAATCCATGGCTGTGGCATTGCTCCCAGCTTGTCAAGGGGCTCAAATACTGCCTGCTTCCCCTTCTTGTACCTCCCTCCTCTCCTTCCATGTCTGAGCTGCTCATGAACAATTCTTCTAGAGGTCTCCTAGGAAGCTAATGAGGTTTGTTTCCCATAATCAGCCTTTCCCCTGTCTCTTGCCTTGCCCATCACCATTTTCAGAAGCATTTCTTAAGTGTTTATTTGTATGGGGTTACATAATCTCAAGTAAATGAGTAAAGAAATGGAGTAGAGTGATGGTGCAGTGTGCCCTGATTAACCTCTACAGGAAGCAGAAACTTTACCATATACTGCTAGATCACAGTGAGCAACCACAGCTTTGGCTCTGCTTGGAATGCAGAAATCTGCTTGTTGATGAAAATTTATTTTAAAGGTGGTCATTCTCTTGGTGGTGGTTGTTGTTGAGTCATACCCATCTGTTCGTAACCCAATTTAGAGTTTTCTTGGCAAAGATACAGGAGTGTTTTGCCATTTCCTTTTCCACCTCATTTTACAGATGAGGAAACTGAGGCAAACAGGGTTAAGTGACTTGCCCAGGGTCACACAGCTAGTAAACGTCTGAGGCCAGATTTGAACTCAGGTTTTTCTGACTCTAGTCCTGGCCACTGTGCCACTTAGCTTCCTTGATCATTCTCTAGTCCTGAAAGTAAGAATTTCTAATAAACATATGAATATAAATCAAAACTGAAAAATTAGAGCCTTGCACTTGGGTGCTATCTCTCTCCATGATGTATGTGTCAGTACAATATCTTGATACTTGAACAAACATCAGTATCATTAAATTGGGTGAAGGGACGGGTGGTTATTCAACAACAACAATGATAAAAGCTAGCATTTAAATAGTGCTTTAAGGTTTACAAAGCACTTTACATATATTATCTCATTTGATCCTCAACCACCCTGTGATGTAGATGCTAGCATTATCCTTATATTTATAGAAGAGGAAACTGAGTCAGAGATTCAGCCACTGTCCCTTCTATATCCTGAAGAGAATAGGGATCATAGATTTAGGGCTGCAAAGGGCATTGGAGGCTTTCATGTTAAAACCCCCTCGTTTTACAGATGAAGAAACTGAGGTTGAGAAAGATTAAATGACTTGCCCTGGGTTAAACAACTAAATAAATATCTGAGGCAGTATTTGAACTTGGATCTTTCGAACTCTGAGTCCATTGTTCTGTGCACTGTGCTGCCTAGCTGATCTGAGTTAACAGATTATTGGCTAGGTTTAGCCAACGATGTTGTGATGGAAAAGTTGTGACAGGAGCCCCTAGGTTTGATATGGGCTCTGTGAACAACTATTTCTTTGCCCTGGGGAGGCAGCTGGGTCTGGAGAGTAGAAGAGTTGAGTTCAAATTTGTCTTCTAATGCTGTGTGACCCTGGACAAAGTGTTTGACCTCTGTCTGCCTCAGTTTATTCAAATGTAAAATGGGGATAATAATAGCACCTAGCTCTCAGGACTGTTGTGAGAATCAGAGGAGATATTTATAAATTGCTTAGCGTGGTGCTTGGTGTGTAACAGGTGATTGATAAATGCTTGTTTCCTTCCTTCCTGGGGCAAGACAACCTCCCTGGGTCTTGGACCCTTCATCAGTTAAATGAACAAGTTGGATGCCATGATTTTTAAGGTCTCTCACATCTCTAAATCCTATGACCCTTGGTTTTGTTACTTAAAACTTTTAGCACTCAAATGTATTATGTCACCCATTCATAGAATCAAGAACCAGAAAGGTTCTTGGAAATTATCCCTCTTTCACCCTCATTTTACAGTTGAGGAGACCATAGCCTAAAGAGCAGTGAAGTAGCCAATGTCACACAAGTAAGCAGTCAGGTTGGGCTTTAATTCCATATCCTTTGACTTTAGAAACAAAGGCTTTTCCCCCTAATCCACACTGCCTTGGCCACCAACTATATCCAACCTACTTAAACAAATAGAGGGAGGAGTGCTGAGCTAATGCCTGTATAATGTTTTGAAAACCTTTGTCAAAGCTGTTTTGTATCCTGAATTCATGATTACTTGGGATAGCAATGAAAAAAAACAAAACAGACAAAACCCAAGATAGCTTTCTATATGTATGTATATGTGTGTGTGTGTGTGTGTGTGTGTGTGTATACATAAGCCACGTAACCCCATGTTCCGTAGAAAACGTGCCACCCGATGGAATTCAAGTTCTTAGGCATGCTTTCTTAAGCTTAGAAACACTGGCCCAGGTCAGGGAGTTAAATCTCCGTGATAGCCATGGGATTCCTTCTTTACCCCGTAGGTGATGAGATGAAGGATGAAATGGAAGATTCGATTGCCGATCTTTCTGCTTTGATTCTGTGGTGAAAACCGTTTTGTTCTGAAAACAAAGCTACAGCTCTTCTAATGACCTCCTGTGGCAATTCATTCACCAGGCTGATTAATGGCTGCAGAGGTGCGTGGGATTTCCCTCAGCGAGAGCTAAATTTAGTGTTTTCATTACTAGTGACGATTTATTTCCCCTCTTTAAAATTTCATCAGCTATTTTAGTCTAAAGCTTCTCTCAGTGTTAAGGCATCTTGATTTCCATTGAACTGATTCCACGGTTTCGTTTTTTTTTTTTTTTTTTTTTTGCAGCTGGTATGCTCCAGTGGAAGCTAGGAATGAAGGTTTTAGACTTCATGTCGGCTGTCTTCTTGTTTGGGATAAGTCTCCTTCTGTGTTCCTGCTGCTGCTTTCCTTAGTTTAGTCCTCAGTGAAATGTGGAGACTCTTCCCACCACCTAACTGTTTCCTAAGCAGCATTTTACTCTTTCTCTTATGACATGGAAATAACACACTGACATCAACTAGACACATGTTTATATTTTTATAAGGTGATATAAATGAAACTGGGATGGATATTTAGAATTTAGACATGATGTAGTGGAAAGAATACTAGATTTGGGTTTAACGGCCCTGTGTTCAAGTTCAGGCTCTGCTATTTGCTCTCCGTGACCTTTGGCACATTATTAAGCCTCTCTTCCCATAAGTTTCTTCAACTGTAAATGAAAGGATTGAACTAAATCAGTGGTTTGTGCCATGGATTCCTTTGACAGGCTAGTTAAGCCTCTAGAGGCCTTCTCAGAATAATGTTTTTAAATGCATAAAATAAAATGCATAGGATCATAAAGGAAATCATTAATATTGAAATTCTTTTACCAAAATATTGTTAAAAACAAGTTTACAGAGCTCAAGTTAAGAACCCGGACACTCAATGGTTTTTAAGAATCCTTTCATCTCTACCATTCCATGATCTAGGAGGATCTGGTTTTCTGTGATTCTTCTAAATTAACACACTAGTAGGGCCTGGGGTTGGGTAGGGTGAAGTGGGGGACTTCATAAGCTGATAATTCAATTCAATAACTGTTTATTAGCCTGTGCAAAGTACTGGGTGAACTGCTGTGGGGAACATAAGGGAATATATGACAGATTCTCTGCCCTTGAAGAGCTTAGCACTTAGTTGGGGAAGCAAGGCATAAATGCAAGAAAAATTACACCAAAGGTTTGTGATTTCTGAGGGAGAGGAGGGAGATGGGTTAGAAATCATTACTGTTGGGCAGCTAAGTGGCACAGTGGATAGAGCACCGGTCCTGAAGTCAGGAGGACCTGAGTTCAAATCTGGCCTCAGACATATAACACTTACTAGTTGTGTGACCCTGGGCAAGACACTTAACCCCATTGCCTAGCCCCCCTCCCCAAAAAAAATCATTACTGTGATGTTTCCTCTCCCAGGTTTCAATGCCAGAGGCTGGGTGCATTGTCCACTTTCCCCAGACTGACCAGTTTCCCCACACCTCTCTTTTCTATGCTAGCATTGATTATTCAATAAGGGATTGCTGTTATTTAGTTATTGAGTCATGGTGGACTCTTTGTGATCCCATGGACTTGTCCATGGGGTCTTCTTGGTAAAGACTCTAGAGTGGTTTGCCATTTCCTTCTCCAGTGTGCCCTGATTTTACTGTTAAGGAACTAAGGCAAATAGGGGTTAAATGACTTGCTGAAGGTCACACAGCTCATAAAGTTCTGAGAATAGATTTGAACTAAGGTCTTCCTGATTCCAATCCCAGTGCTCTAGTCATTGTACCACCTAGCTGCCCCTTAAATAAGAGATAGTAGTCATTAATTTGTTTTATGTAGAGGAAAATAGACAATACAGTAATGGGGGGAGAACACAGGGTGGAATGGTACAGTTCACCAGATATAACAGTGGTCAGAGCCAGGTGCTTCTGACTGCAGGAACAAAAATGACTTTTTTGCTCAGACTCCTTCCCCTTCATGGGAAGAAGGGAGGGAGAGGTGGACCTCAGAGGAATCACTCAATTAGAAGGGAAATGTCTTTCCCTGACTCAGAGCCAGGGGAGAAGGAGAATGTCTGTGAGGGGCTCTCAGTTTATTTAGTTCACCAATCATCGTCCTCATGAGTACAGCAGAGCACCCTCATTGGCCCCAGCAGTACTAAAGTAACAGCTTGTAAAAGCCTCATTGAATGGGAGACCTGGGGAAACAGAATACCTGGTCAAATGGGCTTCTTCCCACCTGGAGCTAACATAGACATCACACGAATTCTGGATACTGCCTGCTTATTCCTCTTCTCCTGGCATCTTCCTCCCAGAAGTCTCTACAAATGGTCCCCAAAACCTTCATACAGACCTTCCCAAGAATTCCAGTTCAAAACCATCAGTAGTGATAGGTTCCGGGGCAGTGTCTACTGTCTACACAGCAACGCCAAGCACCAACATGTCCATATGAACGAGAGACCATGTGGTAAAGGGGATAGAGGGTTGTCCTGCTTCTGCCACATACTTACTGAATGACCCTGGACAAAATTACTAAACCTCTCAGAGCCCCCATGTACTTCTCTTATTTGGTAGCTTATAGATTGATCTTCATTGGTTGAGAAAGTTTACTTACCAATGATTGTAGCTCTAGTGAAAAAAATCATACACACATGCACAAAGTAATACATAAGTGTGTGTAGATACATGTATATAATCCATACACACATGGAATATATACATACACATATATGCTTACTTATGTATTATATTGCATGTGTATATGTGTAATATGTTTTGCACTTTACCAATGATTTCATTGATATAGAGAAGTCATTGTTCAGAAATACCTTCTACCAATGCATATTGGCACCTCTCTGCAGCCACTATATAACATATGTATATATGTATTTATTTACATAAATACATACACACATACATATATACACACATAGAGCATGTCCTTAAAGTCTTCATGCCTTTTTAAATTATTAAAAGTATTTAAGTTATTAGAGGTTAAAACTGTGCTAAGACTTTTGGCTCACCCTGTATATACATATATTTATGTATGCAAATGTATATATATGTGTATTTATGTATCTACACACATTTGGCCTTGAAGTCTGGTCTACTGTAGACCAAGTGAATAAATATATTTTCATATGCAGAAACCTGTCATTTATAACTCCCTCCCTAAAGATTGACTGCAGGACCTGCTTTTTTTCCCCCCTGAATTAAAGGATTCCCAACCCCTCCCCCACATATTCTTTTCATTTGACTTCATTTTAAAAAGCCTTAAATGAAGTTTTTCTCAGGATTTAGCACGGCTCATCTCTCAGTTTGCAGATGTACAGCCTAGTTTAATTGATTGGTTCAGATACGTGGACTTTAGTATATACAGAGTGTCCCAAAAGTCTTAGTGCTAATATATGTTATTAAACTTGACTGTACTAACATTTTTGAGATACTCAACATATGAACTACCACACATCTGTCGAGTCCTTTTTGTGCAAGGATGTTGAGACAGAAGGGGCTGTCCTGTCCATCAGTAAGCTTGCCATCTAGTTGGGCCAGACAAAACACACACAGAGGAATGTAGTCATTAAAGATGGCCAGATGGCTGTTGAACTGGGAGTCGTTATATGTGGGCCTGCTTCCCAGTTCTGGTCCTTGGCTGTGTGATCTTAACAAGTAAATTTTTTGCAAGTTTGTTTCATCTATCTGTGTATAATTTTTGTAAGGTGTGTAACTGATTAGTTTAAGGAAGCAGTCCTTAGCTGATAAAAATCATAGGTTTGATCCCTGGGCATGGCATTGGGAGGCCTCTTCCAAAAGCCTGGTCTCAAAGGGACCCTGAATAAGAGTGTGAGGAGTTATCTCTGCAAGTTCATCACCAAAAGTGGATACATTCATAGAGCACGCCTTCATAATGATGGTGGATTGGTAGCTAATAGAGCTTATTTTTTTTAGGATAAATGCTGTTTCTTTTTGTCAGTCAATCAATCTACAAGTATCCTTTAAATTCTTACTATGTGGGAAGGATTGTATTATGCAATAGGAGATATAAAGAAAACAGACAAGCGGTGCCTGCCCTCAAGGAGCTTACATTCTAACGAGGAAGACAATATGTACATACTTATGTGCAGCTTTCATGGAATTACTTGCTGGGATAGGGGGTGGTCTGGAGGTTGTTAAGTCTCATAATGAAACCTGAGCAGAAGATAGGAACAGATGAGGGAACTGGGATAATAGGAGAAGAAGGAATCACCATCAGAATGCCTCTTCCAGGCAGGCTGGGCTGCCTATGTCACCTTCAGGAGCAGGCTCTGGGCCAGGGTGACATTCCTTCTTGCCCGGTTGTCTATACAATACATACAGAAAAGCTGGAATAATTCTATTGCAAGGCAAACTTAGATGAAGACTCTAACTTTGAAGACATTACAACCATAGTTTATATTTCCATGATGCTTTATGGCATGCAAAGCAATTTCCTCAAAACAGTCCTGGGACGTAGGTAGTACAAATATTATTATCATCTTCCTCATTTTACAGATGATGAAAGAACTGAGGCTTAAAGTGGTTAACTGACCTAGCTATGTTCGTGCAAATAGTAAGTTTTGCAGTCAAGACAGTGTTTTTCTACTATGGCACTCTGCAATATTGGATAAATAGGCTGAATACATCAATATTTATATCAATTTAGTAGACTTAAATTTCATTTATGTAGTCTAAATAATGTTTTGTAGAATGAAAAGACAGAAAATTTTTAGGGGGAAAAGCATTAATAACACATTTCTGGGGCACTTCACAAAATGATTTCCTCAGAACACTGTTAGGAATGCTGTAATAATAATAATTATGGTCCACATTTATATAGCAATTGAGTTCAATTCAATGCAATTAAATTCAACAACATTTTTAAGTACTTAAAAACTTTTATTTCTCAATTAATAAACATTTATTTTCTCTTTCTTTCACCTCCCTCTCCTCTATTTTTTAAAAGGAGAACTAAACTGTTGTAGCAAATATGCATAATTAAGCAAAACAAATTCCCACATTGGTCAACTCCCCAAATGCCTGGCTTATTCTGCATCTTGAGCCCATCCCCTCTCTTCTGTTAGAAGTTGGGTCATATCACAGATCTATTGGAATCATGATTGGTGATTGCATTGATCAGAGTTCTAGAGTCTTTCAAAGTTGTTTGTCTTTACAACGTTGCTGTTATTATAGGAATTGTTCTCCTGGTTCTGCTCACTTCACTCTATGTCAGTTCGTACAAGTCTTCCTAGGTTTCTTGGAAATGTTTCTTTCATTATTTCTTTCAGTGCAATAATATTCCATAATTTGTTCAGTCATTCTCCAGTTGATGGGCACTAACTTAGTCTCCAGGTCTTTTCCATTGCAAAAAGAGTTGCTATCAATATTTTTGTACATATAAGTCTTTTTTCTTTCGCTTTGATCTCTTGGGCGTAGAGGCCTGTGACATCACTAGGTCAAAGGACATATGCAATTTAATGGTTTGTGAAGTATTTACTATGTTCAAGGACTGTGCTAGGTATAGGGAATATAAAGAACAGGAATTTTTTTGTTAAAATATCTGTCCTTCAAGGAGCTTATTCTAATGGTAGATGCAACATGTAAAACATTAAAAAATACAAATAATCTGAAGAGATCACGCACCAATCTGTTTCAGTGGGGGGAATTATCTCCCTGGAGTTTAGTACATGAATGAATGAAATCAAAGATCTGGTTCAAAAAATAACAATGGATTACATTTACATAGTTCTTACAGTGAAAAGTTATTAATTCTGCTCAGACTGCAATCTGTGACCCATATACTAACCTAAAATAGATG